CTGTAAATTATTCCACCCCGAGCAAGCCCGCCAGCCTAATCCTACTGTTATAGGCTACTATTTTCTTATTTCTTAGGGACGCAATATTGGAATTTTACGAAATGAGATAGAAGACAAAAAAGAAAAAAAATGCCGTGCCACACTTTTGCAAGAAAGATTTCAAAATCAAATTTTACATTCACTGCTCACCAAAATATCCACAATCTAGATCTTGCGAATCAACATGGCTATGATAGCGATGAGTTTCTTGTTTGTCCTGTATCTCATTCCGTAAAAATCCAATGTTCTGTTATGGAAATTCAGATAACAGATTCAGATTCGCCGAAAAAATTGCCCAGTTCTGCCCGTTTAAGCTAGGGAAAATGAAAACCAAAGTTGACATTTTCAGTTTTTTGGCGACAAAATTTTTTCAAAAATTTCAAAAGTCACAAAAAGGGGCGACTTTGCCCCCAATCTCGCACCTTTAGGGCGATTCCAATGATTCCAAAGCCACGAATTTGAGCCACGCTATACAGCGCAGCAAGGACTACAACTATAAAAATTATATGAGAGCTACATAAATGTATAATTGGAGATATAGCAAAACTTCAGAGAAGATTAAATAATACTGATCAGCACGCATTTTTGAACGCATTTTTGAACGCATTTCCGAACGCAAAGAATCCCTCAAATAACAATAGACTGGGGCAACATATTATAAATATCACACAGTAATATCATTGTGTACCGAATATTCCAGAGATCCTGATCAAGGCGCCATGAAAGATTTGTCATAGGCGAACGCTATCTTTTCGAGAAATATGACGTGTTTGTTTCAGAACATTCTAGAATACTCGGGAGCGTATGAGAACTGTTGGGGAAGAGGCGTTTGCTATATAAGAATTCTGTTTCAGTCAGTTCTAAAATCGTTGAGAAGTGAGCGTTAAGCTCGTGTTTGTAAGAAATGAATCCATTTCATGACTGTTATAAATGTATTGTTAATTATGTGTAAATAAATAAATCACGTAGTTAAATTTACGTTACAACTGTATGCTAATAATGGTAATCAATAAACACATTTTGTTCGTAATACCATAGAAACACATGAGCTTTTGTTGAAAATGTCCCAGTTGATTATACGACGATTTACTAAAGTGGATGTAAATGCTATGACATTGGGCGTTGCTCTAGGCTGCCAAAAGAGCATATCGCGTTCGGTTAACTAAAACAATATTTGGATTTTGACTACCGTAGGCGATGTAAACAGAAGTGTAATGTACTGTAAGGGTTGAATTACGTTACTGGAGTATCACCGTCGAGTTTCAAATACAAAGACAGTTTTCTTAATATAATTTCAATTAACGTGACTGATAAAATGCGTTTGAAGCAAATGGAATTGTAAATGTCTGGATAATTGCGAGCTTGTCTTTCGTTCATCGGCCATTAGTTCGACATATACGTTATGACATTACTACGTAAATTCGGTTTTAATTTTGATTTAAAACGACGAAAACGTGAATTAATTTTTGAGTAGCGACCGACTTTAATCTGCAGTTCTACTTTAAATATTTGAAGTGCTACTCAATTCCGTTATATTTAAACTTTTGGATGTGCGAATAAATGGAGCGCTCACATATTTGGGTTAACAGCAAAGCAAACATTAGTTTTTATCGCCTTATAATTGTGAAAGCCGCTTAATTAATTTAGTATTGTGAAATGAAAAAAAAAACAGCACTCTAGAGTGCTTTATTGAGTTAGAGAAGAAAAAAAGGGTAAATCATGGCGAAGGCGTAATATCGCTCAAACTGCTTTACGACTCTGCGGTTAAATATTGTCACTTAAATGGTGTGCTAGAATTACACCGAATAATGTCTTTAACATTCCTAAAACATCGCAACTTCTCCTACCGCAACTATGTTATTCTGACAAAATTACAACTGCTAGAGTCAGATATAAAGTTAGACAGTGCTACCCCTCAGCGTTGTTCATGGTTTGCCAGAGGGTAATGTCTCTGTGGTAACCAGACTGAATATAATATATTTTTATTTCGTCCGTTTATGTCGCTATACAATGTAGTCGCTCAATTTTTTATGGCATTCTTCATAACTTGCTTCGTTTAAAATTGACTTAAAATTGAGCTACCCCAAAGTTTCAAAGTTAATTCACTCGGATCGATTGGTATCTCTTTTAGAGAGGGTTGTTTGCCTTTGTATTCATCGACGAGTTTAATACTGTACTATCACAACGATCGATGGCCACCATTGCATTTATTTTTTCTTATAGCCACCGTCTTAAAGGAAAACAAAAGAATTACAAACTCATATTACAATGAGGAAGATGTTTAAGTAAATCTACAGTGTACAATGTACGTGTCCAATCCAATTGTTTGCGTCTGGCGTTGTCTAGGCGTACATAAAATCCGGAACATGATTTATAATATGAAGAAGCAGATTTCGAAAAGAACACAACCAGTTGTCCTACTTACTACAGGAAAAGGACATAATTTAGCCCTCGAATATAATTAGTTTTTTTTTGTTGGTCGACTTGGATGGACGTAACTACAGAAATAGTAGTCGTAAGTTAAGTGTTTCTTTGGTCTTAATTCGGGCTGTTCTTTATACCTACCATTGCAGTGGCTATATATACATTTATGTAAACGTAATGAGTTTTCAGTTTCCTTAATTCATTGAAGCATAACACTGAAAAATAATAGATAACTTTAAATATACAGGGTGTTTCATAAATGCCTGAAGGAAATTCTATGGCGTCTTCTAGAGTTCAAATTAAGAAAAAAAGTCCTTCTAAAGATTAAAACGCTTCCTAAGTGAGGTACAGCTCTTATTGAAAGGAGGTGGCTGCTCACAACATTTTTGGTAATATCTCAGATGCAACCTCTTTTAGGGGCTGTACCTCACTCAGGTAGCGTTTTCAGACACTACTTTACAGAGACTCTTTTTTCTTATTTGGGGCTTTAAAACACGCCCTAGAATTTCTGACATTTATGAAATATCCTGCATAATATGAAAGTTTCGCAAACAGATGCGCTGTTATTAAAACTCTTATTGAGCTTTATTGATCGTAGTTTTGATCATGTTTTTTTTTTGCTCGCGGTTTGTATTTTAACCATTATCGACAATATTATTAGATATTAAATATTATGGTGAAAAAGTGAGGACCCGAATAATCCGTATTAAAATTCTCCTAGAACCGTTGAAATCGAAAAAGTTTGTAACGTTATTTTCCTGCTGATTGATATTCTTGATTTACATTCCGCTTAAATTGCTATTTTACTTGTGCCTTATTTAAATTCTTACGCCATCTAGATATTTACTTTGACATCCACTAGTTGTAAGTTAGTTTTGTAGTTGAGTTCTTTACAATTGTTCTTTGTTTCGCTGACGGAGGTCGAGGTTGTTTTACTCCGAAGAATTAATTATTAATTGATTGACAATAACAAAAATTTATTCCGAAACAAATGAAAGAACTTTAAAAAAAATTCCTGCAAGAAAAAAAAGCAAAACTTGTTTGGACATAATACCCCGCACGACCGCGGTTAACAATTAAAGTAAAAAAGAATCTTAGAATTATTTACAGTTTAAATAATCTGGTCGTAAGTTTGCGATATTCAGGCGCACTTAAGTCATATAACAACACTCGCTGGCAGCTTCAGAAAACTGTTTCTTTATTCAACTTAAACTCAAACTGGCTTGATAAATAAGATGAAAAAAATTTTCAGTGTCTGTTCGGACGGTAAAAATTTTTAACTTTCACTAAGCAGACAACTGCTTTATTTACTTAATTACAACTAACAATAGAGTATTTATTTGAGGGTGATCAAACCAGAGCATCGGGTTTTTTTAGGGTTTCAGATTAGGGGAGATAAAGAACCAACATTCTGCAAGGTAAGAGTAAAAAACAAGCAAGTGGAAAGGAATGTGCACCTTTAGTTATTACTTCAATTTCCAGGTTTTCTCCTGGCACCGCCACCAGACTTCCTTGGAATTAGTTTTAGCATAGAACTAATGCGCATACCAAGTTTTATCGAATTCGTCTATGTATCTTCTGAGTTATAAGTTTTCATCCACACAGACGGACGCCAAATGCATATATTATAACATTATGCGAAACGTTTGGTGTAGGTACTATAAGTTTAAACTTTAGTTTAGGTGACAGACTGCGCGAATTTTGATTGGATAATAAATAAATACAATTTTTGGGACTATCACTTCTTTGAATTTGCATTACAATCAACTGACCGTGTATAAGTATTAAACATACAATATTTACTTTACTGAACTTTATGTATGGTTGCAGTTACCATTGCTCACAAGCTCGAGAGATGTTTATCATGAAACGTCTGCAAACTTATCTGAGTGACATCTCTAAATACGTACAAAAAAAACCAAAACTTTACTGCTGAAAACACAATTCACAAAAGTAAACGGGGAGAATGAGTAAACGGAACTTTATTCATTACGCCTCGAGATTTGCATACCTACAGAAGAAGGTAGTACGCAAACAAAGAAAAAGAAAAATAAAGGAAGCCCTTGTATTTATATACGCGATATTTCACCTGCGATAAGTTTAAAAAGTGGATCTGTATTAGTAGGTACGCGTCCTTGGGGAAACGTTTTGTTAAATTTCCAGTTTAGAATTTAAGGAAGTTGCTAAAGTGCCCTAGCGCCCAGATGTACAATTCGCCAACCTAAAATTGCCCATGCCTATACGTTTATTATTTTGTTTTAACTTTCTCAAATGTCACGGGCCTTTAACAAATTGAACATAAGTGGCCAGCCGCAATAACGATTGTTGAACTTTCACCACGTTTTCATGGGAGAATTGAATTAATCAATTTCCTTCTATAAATAAAGCCACACAACGAGTGGCCTTAACCTTCACGCAGTTTGATCTTAAAATCGCGTTATGAAAATAGTTTCAATTAACTTCAATGTACCCCGCGGACATATTAGGCTGCGGGCTCAAGAAAATTCGAAGACTATCGTAAAGTAAAAATCACTCACCAAAAGTATGAAGAAGATGGCATTCATTTTTTTCTTACTTGGTCACTGAATTCAAAACCACACTTGCGGACGAAGAATAATGACGATGTAACGGAGTTTCCTAATTAAATCCATCTGTGGCATCTGTAACAAAGGCACGATCAAAATATCATGAATAATTAAGCGAAGTCGTGGAGAAGGGGCATATTTCGCATTTAGACATATTGGTCACTTCCACATATAACATTCATAATCGGCAGCAATAATTGGGATGCAAAATGTTAAGTAAAAACAAAAGGGCCCATTTTCTTTCTCTTCTAAAGTGTATGTAACTTTTTTTTAAAATAGTGTTGGGGCCGTGGTAGTTTTGAAACAATACATAGACTAGGCTGAGAAAAATTATCCAATTTTGATGATAAATAGTAGATTATTTGTGAAGGAGGAGTATTACTTTTCATAGTGAGCTATGAAAGTAACTTCGCCTCCAAATAAAATATGTTATTTTTTCTGCCAACTGCCGCAAATGTACCCTTATTTTAATGATAGGCGTTTATGGGATATTGATAACGTTAAATTAAGACCACGTTTCCGCGAAAAATTAACATCGGCTTTATTGACAGCGGTTTCTACCGACTGTTTACGCGAAGTGGTGTTATCAAGAAGGGATCAACAGCTAACATTACTACCAATAGTAAATAAGAAAACTATAATATTTTGATATTTGAAGAAAAAATATAATTACAAATTCTGATGTGTTGTGACTGCTCCATTGAATACGCTTAGCGGATTTATATTTGCAAATAGTTAGTGCAAGATATGTAAAGATTATGACTCGGCATTATTCTTAATACACATTTTTTAGGGCATTACCATCCGTCAGCGTTCCCTCATGTTTGTCTCATATTTCCTCATAGTTTTCTCCTAATTTCTCCTAATTTTCTCTTCTGGATTATTTTTTCGTTATCATCTACGTCAACAGCGGATGGGAAATAATTATCTAAGTCGAATTTGACTATCACACCTTGGAAAATTGCACCGCCATCTTAGTTAAAATCACTCACGGGATTATACGTACATTATCAATATTGTTCCCATCTAACTGCAAGTATTGACGAAACATTTTAGGGATTGTTGCTTCGATATTTCTGATTTTACTACCGCTGCTTGTGCCGTTACGAAGAATACACCTTCTGAGATCTGATTTTCTCTGCGTTACTTTCTAATCACTACGAAGCTTCATTCATGTTAGTTTGATTACATTTATCGTTCAGATTAACGTTATACGGATTTCAAAACTGATATCTGCGATTTTTATTTACGCTCTCCCAGAATTTATTCGTGTCTATCTTCATTTTGAATTAATTGAATTAAATTGCTGTTGTATAGAAGTGTTGCTTTCTTAGGAGTTTTCTTGAAGTTAACGACACGTTCATGCTTTTACACAATAATGTGTACGGACGATTCGTTGTCGAGTAAAAACTTTGCTTTATTTAGTTAACGACTTCACGTAAATTGAATTATTGATTCTTGTTGAGTATTAACTACGGTTTTAGTATTCGATTTACACTGATGTCAGAAGTTAGACATTGATAACGCAATATTTTCCTTGTTTGTTTGTGTTTTTTTTTCTGTTACAGATAAGGCAGAAGAGCACCCTTCTGAGATCAAAAGGCCGTTACAACCAGTGTTTAAAGGAAATCTTTTTATTTTCGACGAATCCTTTATACAGGGTGGCCATTTGAAAACGAAACAGAGCCTATTTTGGGAACCTCAAAACATTTACGAAAAAATCCTTGGACCCGTCAATTTTTGATTCACGGGGGAACCATTTTTTTGCTAGTTTCTACCTAGCAGGGGTGACGACCGTCCCCAAAATTTTAAATCGAATGGGGGGTTAAGTGAAACCTTATTTTGAAGGTATATTGTTATGTGGATTATAACCCTTAAGTTTTAAATCGCTACTAATTTGCCTAGCCGATACAGGGGCTAATAAAAGTTACAAAAATGTGTCAACATTTTCTTATGAAAAAAAATTCTTGTAAGTGAATTAGTTAAATAACAAAAATTAATACAACAATAAATACAAAAAATGTTGTTCTCCTACATTCTGAACCGTACTTTTTGTTGTTTTTTTTCTTTTTAATGCCTGTAGGTGGCTATGCCAAATGATCAACACTTTCTGTTTAATGTATGTTTTTCTGATGAGTGCTCCTTTTTGCTAAACGGTACTGTGAATCGTCACAACTGTCACTATTGGGTTGATTCAAATCCCAGACTATTTCGTGAGGTGCATACACAACGCCCCGAAAAATTTAATGTTTGGGCTGGCATTTTTGGTAACCATATCGTAGGCCCCTTCTTTTTACCTGGCAATCTAACAGGAGAGATGTACCTGGAGTTATTAGAAAATACGATTCATCCAGCATTAGTGGAGATACTAGAAAATAACAACGAGTACTTGGAAAATCGTCTAGTATTTCAGCAAGATGGTGCGCCACCCCACTATGCTGCAAGGGTTCGTCAATATTTGGACCAAACGTTTCCAGGACAATGGATTGGAAGAAGAAGAGCTATTGAATGGCCTCCACGTTCCCCGGACTTAGTCCGTTAGATTTTTTGTATGGGGACATTTAAAAACTAAAATTTGTGCTAGTCAGCCAACATCGCTAGAGAACTTGCGACAAAGAATAATTGATGAATGTCGTCAAATCACCCCAGAAGTTTTGCAAAATGTACGGGAAAGGTTTGACCAAAACTTGTATTATTGTATGGAAGTCGAAGGCCAACATTTTCAACATTTACTTGATTGATTTTAGCTTTGAGCACTTAAAATAAAACTGATTTAAATCTTAAGAGTTATAATCTACATAAAAATACCTTCAAAATAAGGTATCACTCGACCCCCTATTCGATTTAAAATTTTGGGGGCACTTGTCACCCCCGCTAAGGCTTTGCCCTCAGCGGGGCGAAACTAGCAAAAAAATGGTTCCCCCTTGGATCAAAAATTGACGGGTCCGAGGATTTTTTGTAAATGTTTTGAGGTCCTCAAAATAGGCTCTGTTTCGTTTTCAAATGGCCACCCTGTATATAGTTTGATTACACACGGGTTTTGGAAACAATCGAATTGTAATTACTACACGTCCGATAGTCATTTTACAATTAAAGCTACGTTTTCTGCGGAACTCTGTTTTCATTTGGATAATTTTCCTGACAACGAGTTTATCCCGTTTATGCTAAGATTTGAGTTAAATTTAAAGCATTGACATTTCAGATCTAGAAATTACAATGTCCTGTTTGTAATATTTTGAGATCATTGATTAAGTCACCCTCGATGACAACAATTATTGTTTATGCTCTACCAAGGCAATTGTTTTATTTCTACCGCTTATCAAGACCAGAACAAGGATCTATTAGTCTGCCTTGTTCCTCCTTTCGGTAAGTATTCTTTCTCCTCTTGTTACGTTCACGAGTACGTTTTCAATATTCTGGGCGATTTGAATTGTACATGTTAAAATATAAAAGAATCGCCGATATAGGCGGAATCGCTTCTGGAGGTTAAATTATAGATTAAAAACCGTATTGCATGAAAAGAACACAAAAAAAGCTATAACTTGACCCACGAATTTTCAATTTGGATTCTACAGTTCAACATCTATAACAGTATATAAGAATCTATAGAAGATCGCTTCTGCACGTTAAAAGTTAAAGGTAAAAAATATTGCAATGAAAAAAAACACAGGACAGGAACTTTTGCTCCACGATATATCCATCAACCCAGATGGCGCTTATCCGGTTTACTACTCTCCTTTTGTTCGTTTTGGCTAGTATACAAGAACCCCATTATTTACCCCGACCCACCCTCTACTTTGCCTGAGCTTACCGTGTGCTTATCTCGTGGTAATTTGTTACGTTTGCTCAAAGCGAACGTAACATGGTCAGCAAGGCGGCGATACCCAGCACGTGAAATCCGAGCCAATCATTGAACAATTTCAAGGACGATAAAGGTACCAATCTAATACAAAAGTTCTAAAACAAATACGTTATAAATAATTACAAAAGTTATAGTAAAAATATGTGCTGTTAATGAAGTTCAAATCTCAAGGTAATTTCTTTTCATTTAGCAATGATTAAAGGAATTGGATTGATAATAATTTGCACGTAGTTTTTTTTATAATTCATGAAACTAGCCGTTGGGGCGTCGTTTACGTACAGACTTAATTAAAGTATTAGTTTCACGCAATCATGCGTTGCACGTTATTGTTATTAATTAAAGCTTAGCCCTTGCACCCGGCTAGCGTCAATTATCTGTAATTGAAGTTAAATTTTTGCATTAACCGAGCAGCTAACGTAAATAATATTGAAAAAGAAGTGAGTATACATAGCTCACCATATCCGGCCTAAAATGACATACATTTGGCCCAAAGCTTGTTTGACCAAGAAAAGGTTTGGAACACGATCTCAGGAACTCAGGTGTATTGCCATCTCGATAATTTTTGAACGTTATTATGGCTTCATTTATTAAACTTTAAAAACTTCATGCAAACAATTTGCACCGACTAAACGCAAATCACGCGTTAACTTGTTCAGGATGTAACGAAAGTTACTCAAGAATACTACACGAAACTTAGCACTTATTCAATCGTTAACTATTGTTAACTAAATTATACCTGTAAAAGCACAACTAGATGTTCTAAGCAAAGGGTGTAGAAGGTAAATTGAAGTATCTTAAACATACATCAAGTGCCTACCCGATTCTCCTCTAATTAAACTCCAAGATAAACACAGCAAGATGGGTTGGAAAATGGATGGCCGTCTTGCCTATAAGAAAATGACTGAAAACTTTTTGATTAATTGTGCTCGTATAGTTTAAATAAGGAATTAGCGATGCGCGACACGTGAATGACGTAACCCAGTTTAAAACGGGCGCGACGCGCTATAAACGTCGGCGGCAGGAATATGTTTCTCTAGTAAGAAGAGATCGTTACAAACACCCCAAGAGATTTGGTTTGTATTCGTAGCAGATACCAGGTGTCAGTGGTGTCGTCCGATAACAAGACAAATCTGCGACACCCGCATCAGCGGTCTCTTCCATGATCCATTGCGGCTCGAACTGAGGTCCCAAGGCGGTAGTTACACTTGCTAG